CAATTATTGATATCAGATAATTTAGGGGTGGAGGACATGTTGTACTGCAAGAAGGCTGAATAAACGATCAACAACACTGGAACAAACCCTCTCAGCACCTTCTCGCTGGACGAAATGGAGACAAAAGTAGCTAATTTACCACTTATGGATATGACAAGGGCAAAGACTGATCGTGAAGCGTTTGCCAAAGATCTTGTTAAAGTCATGAGTACGATTGGCTTCCTTCTTCTCGAGAATGTCGAGGGAGTCGATCCGGATGGTCTGATGGGAGCGTGCAAGTGGTTCTTTACCCAGCCGCTGGAAAAGAAATTTGAGGTAACAAGGAAGAAGTGGAATAAAAGCTGCAAGAACGTGTACAGGGGATATTTTCCGACCGGAGAAGACCCTAACAATTCGAGTCATAAAGAAGCTTTCGAATGCGGCGTTACGCTTCCGCTAGACGACCCCGACGTATTGAATGGTAACAGGCTGTATGAAAACCCCCAGTGGCCGATCGAAGAAGGCATTCCGTTCAAGGAAATTGTAACAACTTATTTCAAAGCGATGCACCGAGCAGCTGTAGACTTGATCCGTCTCCTGGCTCTTGGTTTGGGTTTTGATGAGCACTGTTTTGATGATATGATCGTAAAGAAGCCGTTGTCAACTCTCAGACTTCTGCACTATCCCCCTCGCGGAGGTATGCCTAGGTAGAGACCAAAATGTTGGCTAGACGGTTTTAACCCTTTAACTTCCGTGAGAGAGCACGACAGGTTTTTTTACCCTAGAATATCAATACAATATCAAGCAGACTAGCCTCCTCCCACCCCCCGTGCAACCCACGAGCATTTGACTGTCATCCGTGTCCAGGGGGTGGGAAATTTGAACTTTCCCTGGCGGGGGTGGGGAATTTTTAACCAGAAGTGTCAAGTCTTTCCAGTAGAACACAAGTATCATATCTTTTCATATCTTTAAAGATGGAAGTGTCTAAAGACAAGGAGTTCATTTTTTCAAGCAAATAGCTCAGAAGAAAAGGTTGTCCAGGTCTAGGTTTTAAAGCTTGGTTACTTATTAGGAAGGCTGGGTTTCTGATTTTGCCTTTTATTAAAACATTGGGCTGTATATTTGAACACAACTTTGGTCCCAGGTGGCAGGAATCTGAACAAACTAATCTTCAGAAGGTCAACTGCCCTGGAAAGGTTGCCAGGAGGGGGAGATTTTGAAGCTTCAAAACACATGATTTTTTAATGGATGCCTATGGGAAGGGGAAGGTACCATTTTTGGCAGATGAGGGATCGTTTTTATCTTATATACCACAAATCGGTACAATAGTTGTGGTCACACTACAGACTTTAATTATGTAGAAATAAGTATTTGGTAACTTATGATGTTTAATTGATGTTCAAGGACATGCCATTAGTTAGGGTGCACAGAGCACTAGGTACTCCTTTGCTACCATACATTTTTGACTCCATCCCACCACTCATTTAGTGTGTTAATTCCAAATATTAATAGCAATAATTTACTTTCTCTAGATGCCATTCCCAACACCTGCATATCAAGTGATGGTAAGATTTTGACATGCGATGATCACCACGACACAGGTTTGATAACTCTTTTGGAAACATTCAACAATGGAGGCTTAGAGGTCATTGGGGAAGGTGGTGAGTGGATGGCAGTTGAGCCCAGACCTGGAACTCTGGTTGTTAATATTGGAGATCTTCTGGTCCAGTTTTGTGGAGGTCATCTAAAGGCTACACGTCATCGTGTTGTGGATATTGGAGTTGACCGATACTCTGTGCCTTTTTTTATGGAACCCAGTTACCACACTGACATAAACAGGTCTCCAGTTCTTAAGCCTCCCCCTGAGGGTACCCCTGTGCAAAAATATGGTCATTGGATGATTGAAACCATCAAACGCAAGAAGTTCATTGAATATGAAGGGTTGGATACCTCATTTAATTGGCATGAAATATAATTAACTGTCATGATTGTGCCCTGGCTAAGGATATTTAGAGACATTTGTATCACTGCATAATGTCAAGGAAGCATTTACAATGTTCATAAATTCAAACATTGATTTCATTTAATTAGAATGGATTTCATAATAATACTACATGGGAAATTAATTTTTTAAATTAATTGGTTCAGAAACTCATTACTAAGCGCAAAAATGTGGTACATGAACCAACTAGGATAGAGTCCAGGAATGAGGTTTGATCACATGAAAATAGACATTTTCTTGTTTCAGTGTAAGAGTATGAATAAGAGAGGGTGATGAATCATGGTTATGACTACATTTCTATTCAAGCGTAATGAGTTATATGCCAGTTGATTATGCAATTAAGCTCAAACCACATTTCTTTACCTATATGCCAAAAGTTCTGACTGTTTTGAGTACAGGGAAAAAAAATCAAATGCACTCTGTCTGGAATTTTTTTTATAGGAACTGCATGATGTGCTCCCCAGCATCTATCACAAATTAGTGGTCAAAAATCTAAGAATTTCAAAATGTTTCCAATTTAAATAATATTTTTATACCAGAACCTTTAATGTGATGATTGTAAGGCATACAGAAAATTCATGACAGTGTAATTTAGTGTTTAATTTGTTTGTAAAGCACTGTCTGTAGACTTATCACAACAACTGAGTGAGTAGCAAATTACAATGATCATTTTTTCAAAATCTTCTGGAGTTCCACATGTAACAATCTACTAGTCAAGAGTATATGAACTTGTAAGTCTGGTATTCATTCCTTCTCTTCTGAGGAAGAACAGCCAGGGTTCATTTCCCTATCAGCTGCTGGCTATGGAGCCTAGATTTGGTCATCCCTTTTGGAGAGGAGACAAAAACATTAATGGAGAAAAAATTTTTTTGTTTCTTTTCTTATGACCATGTCTGTTTGTGTTTGATTCATAGAAACAGAGCATCTTGCATGTAAAAGAGGCATGAATGCCCATCAACACACTTTGAATATTAAATGATACCTACAATGAAGGATGATATAGGCCGGACTCAAAATTTTCTTAGACAAATGATTCAGTAGGGGAAGAGTTGGCAAAGAAGCTGTTGCTGCGTCGGTAGAGGGGTATAACGAGATAATATGGTTTTATCAACTGAGGTGATAATATCAGTTGGCCAAGGTCAAGAGTTTCCAAAGCTGACAAAGGGCCAACGCGCAAATCGTCAGCTTTAGAGCGTTATAGAGTGTTAGAGCGTACCAGCTGGGTTGATAATGTAAATTGGCTACTATAAAGAGTCTCTAAAAGCTGATTTTTCGAGCTTTAACCATTCGCTTACCCCCTTTAACGTAGCCAGTTACCCTGCTAAATATTCGTTCTTTCCGTGTTTTCCCTTGTCTCATTCTGCTTTTTTCTTTGGTGTCGGGAATTGTTCATGTTAGTCATGTAAGCAGAAGAGCAAACGTTTCACTATCATGATATAAACCTATATGCCTACAATGGAGGAATAATTCAGGGGATCTTGATTTTGTTGAAGAGTTACGTTACCTCTTATACCGTGGATGTTACTGGCTCTGTTCAAACGTCAGTGTCCATGAATTAAAATAATTTGTTAAGAAGGGTATGTTAGAAATACCAAGAGAAGAAGCGTGATCGATCACTAAAAGGGGGTTGCGATCTAAGGCCATCTCTAAGCCGTTTTATATCCGGCGGAAGACTGAAGGAGCTTCACTGGAGTTCTGTATGATTGCGCATGACCAAAGGTACGCTCTTTCTATTAATATCCTATTGCTCCCCTTACTATTTCCGGGTGCGATTATGGCTCAACGATAGTGAGCTGGACGCCGGCTCTAGAGGAACCGGTTTCGAGCCCTGTCCGAGGCCATCCGGTGATCGTAGAAAGAGGCCGATCACAGGATTATTCTTACGTCCTCTTTTTTTTTTTACAGTTGTATCATTTTCCTTTCCTCTAGATGTTTTATTCCGGTTTGCCCATCGTGCGTCCAGATAGCCTATTCAAAATTCTGTGTAAGCGTTGTTTCCAGCATCGATTCCGGTCTCCAAGATAGAATACTATTACCTCGTACACTCAAATTATTCAGCGCCAGCTTTCACTTTCAAATCAGATGCAACAAGAGAAGCCAACAATTTCAGACACTCTCTGAAGTTTATTTTTCTTTTTGCATGTAACAGAGACTTCTACTTTGAAAATGAGGCATAAACTTCAGGCTAAGAATCCCTACATCAGGAACAGTATCTTTTTGAAATAAAATTTACAACTTTCCTGACCTAATGTTTTAATTTAAAGGCTCATCAAATGGCCAAGAGAAGCTTTCTTAACCCTTCAAAATGGCTCCCCTCATCTCAGAAAATTCCCTAATTGTTCAAGTCGTCTAAAAAAATCTCGAGATTTGGGTACTCTCACAGCTTCACTAACAATTAGAATGAACAGCACTCAGGTGAGCCAGGTTACTTCTACAAAATCGCTTGGTGTGATTATAGACGATAGGCTCGATTGGCATAGTCACATCGAAAAATTAACAAAAAAGATTGCCTCTGGTATCGGGTGCCTAAAGCGAGTCAGGCATCTGATCCCAGCATCGACCTTACATCTGCTTTACCAAGCTTTAGTAAAACCTCACTTTGATTACTGTGACATTGTCTGGGGTAGCTGTGGGATAACGCTACGAGATAAGCTGCAGAAATTACAGATTAGAGCAGCCCGTGTTTTGACATTTTCCAGCTATGATGCCGATGCAACTAAGCTACTTGAATTTTTAAGTTGGAAAAATCTGACAAGCCAGCAGGAAATTCATAGAGTTACCATGGTTTTCAAATGTCTGCACAGGCTAGCTCCTGAATATCTTAATTCTAAGTTTAGATGGCTTAACTCTGCTTATGACCTCAGGGACTCTGAAAATAAACTCAATGTTCCTCTACCTCGCACTAACTATTATCGAAAAAGCTTTAGCTATAGTGGAGCCACATTATGGAATAGTCTTCCATGTGATATAAGGAACACAGAGTCTCTGGGGTTATTTAAACGCAAGATCAATGCCACTCTATAACGCACGGCATTCACGGAAAACAGCTTTTAGTTATTAGTTAGTGTTTTAATTTTTAAATAGTTTTAGTTAATGTAATTGCTGATGAATTGTTTCGTGCTTAAATAAAGATTATACTATACGAGACGGTCGGTTACATTTTATAGAGACACTGTATTGACTATCACGAGCGAGTAAGGACCCGGGCGATCGTAACTTAATTGTTTTCCATTTTGACCGATCATGAACTCGTATCGAGTGCAATAAATGCAAAGAAACGAGGAGATATCAACTATAGATATTCTCTTGAAAGAAATATATCCCGGCGCAGATCAATCAAACTGTTATCAGGGCTTCCAGTGGTATTTCTACCGAAGTAAGCTGGAAACAAGATTTAAATACTTGTACCAAATATCGTAACATCTTTCTTGCGTCAGAAACTGAATGTCTTAATTTTTGTGTATATACAATCAGCAATGTTAACAATCGTTCCATTGTGTTTCTACAGGAGTGCAGGCTTTGTGAGTTCGACATTACAAACGCGGTCAAGAGATGGCTCGGTGGTTCGTGCAACCAATAAGCCGAACCCTAGAGGGGGCATTCGTTTTGCTGGAAATGCCTATCCTAATGTAAAAAAAGCATACACTCGTCATCTTCCTTTGATTCTACTGACTGACAAGCAAGCTATCACGCTTTGCTACTCCTTATGAAGCAGAGAGTAGGGGTAGAGTTTAGTGTCTTGAAAGAGAATTTTGTATCAGCATTTTGAGAATTTAATTGAAATGAGTATGAGGACATAAAACTGTTGGCGTTGTCTCTTGAAAGGAGGGGCTTGTCATGAACGCAAAATAACAAATGACAAATTTACAACTCACATTGAGAGCCTCACTGTAAACCGGCCGCCCTGGCGACAGCTAGGCCAGTTTGTTTCGCTCGTTAATTATTATTATTATCATTAATTCTGGCTCGTCCAACTCTTAGATTTCATCATTTTATGCTGCTCTAGATCATCATTTTCAAGACTTTTTTCGGTTTTGATGCAAATTATGGCCTTTTTCTCGGTATTTGATCAAGAGGCTCTAATGCCCCACTGTCTGAGTCTGTTCCACACTTGTTACTCACGTGCTATAATCCGGCCATGATCACGTGCTCCAGCAAATGACAACTTCCCTTCCTTCTGAAACCACAAGACATAAACACGAGCTTGCCCTATGATCAATAACAGACCATTGAAACTGAATTAAAAAAGGAAAAAGCTGGAACCAATACAGAAAAATGTGTTTGCAAAACCAGTATTACGGGAAGCAGTTTTAACCTTGCTCCCTTCTTTTCAACATTTTCAGTGTTTTGTCCACCAGTTCCCTGTCATATGGTTATTCAAAATTAAAGAACACCGATCGAGACTCGAGAGAAACAAAATGAAGAGATTAAATATCTTAGACATTCACACCCAATTACGTTACGGTCTGGTAGAATTGTACCTAAATTTACTCTGCCATTTGATCCAATTTTCCTTGCATAGTGCATGTGCTGTTGGTTAGAGAAAAATGAATCTCCATCGACACAATGGAAATAAAATTTCGTCGTAACACCGAATAAGTGCGTATGTTCATCGCTGATGACTGACGCCCAGATAAAAATATGACAATTTTTGTGACACAGCCAAGTGCTCCAGCTAGCGCCATTAACTTTCACAAAACGACTAGATTACGAAATACATTTATTCCAATTCGTATAAGTACGTAACAAATGCATGATTCTTTGGCTAACTACAGACCTCACTCAGTTGTTTAAAAGGCATAATTTGAAACGCAAAAGGTGCGTTTTTTTTAGTAATTGTTGACATGAGACGAACAAAATCTATGAGGGTTATGAATAAAGCTCTGAAAATTGCATATCTAAATTACACCTCGGTCTGAATATCTCAATAAAGTTAAATGTAAAGTTAATCGACGCATTTGTGATATTTTTAAGCCTTCATGGGCCGTTTGAAACGTCTTTTTATGAAACTACATTTGGTCGGAGGCCGTCGACAGAAGAAAGTGAGACCCAGATTCATAAACGGTCACAAAACTGCTGATCGGATCCTTTTTTATGCCAACCTGTTTAAATGCCAAACTAAATAGCTAAGACAATAATAATTTGTTTAAAAAGGCGTTAATTGAAACGTAGAATGGTTGATCGCTTGAAGTGGGATAAAAATAAACCATCCTCGCGGCGTTTTAGTAAAGAGACGCCATGTTTGATCTTATTTCACATTACGTGCTCTTTGTTTTTCTTTATTCAAATCTTTATATCCTTTGTAAGTGAATGATAATCAGCGCTCTAGCAATTTGCCCAATGCAAATATTACTAAAGCCCACATGAGTACATCAAATCGTGAACGGAGCAAATAAACAATGATTAATTGATTGATTTAAATCATCAAAGCAGATCGCTTGAAACAGCTATGATATAGACTAGGCTCGTCGGTCAAGCGGATCGCACGTATATTATTAAGAGTCGAAATCATTCCCTTCTTCCTTATGTGCCGAGAAAGAGGTTAATTCAGAAGGTCAGATAGGGTAAACTGCATTGCTTTCCATGAATGGAAAATGAAACTTATCTGAGCTTTTTAATAAAGAAGGAGAACGGAAATCCCAAAATCGTGATGCATTCTCCCTGACTGAGGTCTATTCATTAAGGGCCACATTTGGCAGCGCCTCTAAAGGTGAAAGTGAAAATTCAGGATGTGGTTAAATCCTGAGCATGCAGGCAAAATTCAGAGACTAAGAAGAAAAGGAAAAAGAAAGAAGCAAAGAAAGGGAGAGACCGAAAAGAAGTGAGAAAAAATATGGGCTTTTATCAGATACGTTATAGCTTGACCTCTTTTTTGTACTCGGTGGTTTCTTATAAACGTGCTCAGCCATCGATAGCGGATCGTTCTTTTCTCTAATTCTCCAGCCACTGTCATTTCCTTTATAGTTTTACTTCCTGTTGCATTGGTGTATGTTTCCATTGACTTGGATCAATGATTCTTTCTTAACAGATAATGAAAATAACAACATTTTTTCAACGGGAAAAGCACTTACAGATCACCAAACCGCTAAACTAAATTTTTTATTTTCAACTGATCATCTGAATCGTTTTGATATATTGTCGCACTCTTAAAAACATGCAGAGAAGGACGAAAAAAAAAGTGAAGTGGTTCGGAGTGATCGGATAGGATCGAATTTTGATCACCCCGATATTCGGTTTCGTTAGTGATCGTAATTGTCCCCATCAAATTGAGACAATTTCGGACCGTTATAAAATTTATATGGAAAAAAGACTACTGTCCATTCAACAAAATAAACTCTTTGTTTTATTGGTTCACTGAAACTAGGAATGGGTTTCACTCTAACTTCTCGTGACCCCATTTCGAGCGATGAAAATGAAATGTTATAATTTAAAGAAGATCAGTTTTAGGTTATTTAAATATTTATTAGTTGTGTTATTTGTACTAAATTCTGTTGACAAATTGGAATATTTACTCAAATAAACTTCTATTAGGGCTCCTCGAAATGTCTGTTTCGTTAATGTTCGCTGAATACCAGATTTAAACATCATACCAAATATATCAGTTCATGAAATTTCTTTTACTTTGGAAATTCAATAGTCTCAGTCCTTTCTTTTTTCTTATATAAACCATCATTTAATCGAACCACTTGAAAATTTAAAATTTCAATCAATTTTTGAAAGTTTATTAGAAATTATAAGGTTAACTTTCGTCACGAACAATGCGATGACATCAATGCTTTTATTGTTCACCATTCATTTCCGTTTCGCAACATATTTATTTTCAAAAACTCTTGTCTTGATGGACTGTCGTGGAAACGTCACCATGTGACAGTGACATGTCTTTTATTTTTGCTCGTGACTTATGAAAGATAAATTATTGTCTTTTGTTATTTTCAACAGATCATCTTGTTTCATCGACACAGGAAGGCAGCTGGCATGTCATTAACTTTGTTTATATTTATTTTATTTGCCTTCAAGATCTTTTAATTTACTTTGCAACCAATGACAGCTGGAGAACCAAAGCTAGAATAAGCATCTCTTTGATAGAAAAAACAAACTTGTCAGGGCCCCAGCTCTTTTGACTTTGTAAACATTACGTGCAAAGCTTCCGTGATGGCTGTGAATTGCGTGTTTCCTAATTCCTTTCATCGACAGCACATCCTGCGTACGGGTTACTTAACGCTTAGTATTCCTTGCGTGTTACTTCTCTCTGACATGGAGAACTAAGCTAAGAAGTGATAAAACCATAGGGGATCCAAAATCTTCAATGAGAACTTTCCACGTACTTGTGAAATGTCATTAATTTTTTATGCTAATGTATTTCTCACTTGTCACGTGACTCAACAAGCACCTGTACTCAGATCCCATGAGGCCAATTTGCGCAAGTTTGGTTTGTGTATGAGAATTCCACGGTAAAGTTAGGACTTCGAACCGCAGCCATGGCGGCCGCACTCGGAGTCATTTTATTTGCTTACATATGCCTAGTCTTTCTCGTTACACATAGGATATGTATGATGCAGTGCAATCCAATGTCTAGACCTGGTAAGTGGCGTAAAGTAAAGGAATAGAGGCTGTGTTGACGTTTGGTAGGATTCGTTTGTTCTCGTCGCTCCATCGTGACAACGGTAGAGTTTTACAAGTTTATGGCCAAATTATGATTGGAGTTTGTGGTTTGTAAGCCAAATACGTCTACCTGGAATATTTTTAGGTATATACCAAGGAGATATGGGCGATATGCGGTTCTCTGGGAGCCACGTACAGGTAAGCGTTCGCTGTCAAAAAAGTGAAAGGTGTGATGAGCTGACGATGTTTAATGCTAAGAACTACTAGAAACTCCGAAAGATGGTCTTATCATTCTAACGTAAGTCCCACCAAAAAGTTGCTCACTAAAACAGAAACCGAGATAATTTACAGCGAACCGTTTGCATCGAGTTTTCACTGCTTTGCTGAGGATGAACTTAGCTTGAACTTGATTATGGTGATGCTGGTGCACTCATGTTTGAGGTCTGTCAAATTTCAGTCGTGGTTTGCACTTGGTGTAGAACCAGTAATTTTTTTTTTGTGCTCTTCGCAGGATGATGGCTCACACCACCACAGAAGGTAGGAATA